CAGAAACTGCTAAAAGTCATCAGGAATATCATCCCGAACTCGCTGCGGAGGTGCGGCAGCTGCGGGGAGCGGGACTGCGTGTGTTGGCGCGCAAACAGGTGAAGGAAAAAAAAAAAGAAGAAGTTCGAGATGCGCAACGGCTGGGGGTTCTGCATTTCGTTTTGGTTGCTGTAGGCGCTTTTAACACCATTGTTTTTGTTTGCTTTGTTTATTTGTTGCGTGAGTGGTGTCTAAAAACAAGAAGGTCGAGATGCGCAACGGCTGGGGGATCTCCATTTCGTGTTGGTTGCTGTGGGCGCTTTTAACTTCATTGTTTTTTTGTTTGTTTGTTTTAGTTTGTTTGGTTTGTGTAGGTGGTGTCTTGTTTGGTTGTTGGGTGGTTTGATGTCTGTGGGAATTAATGATTGTTGGGTTTGCTTATTCTTCTTTTTACTATACCAATTTTTAAAATCAGTGTCTGGGTGTTATTGGTGTGGGTATACCTGTATATGTATGGAATGTGGGGGGATAGGATAATTGGTAACTAATACGTACAAATAAAATGCTTACGTGATTAGTACTGATCTATATCTACTTGTATAGAATAGATTTTTGTTAGAAAATCTATTCTATACAAGAATGGAAATAGAGAAGGCAAAATATGGCGTTTGCCGAACCCAGTAAGTGAATAGCGACAAAATCCTTGTATATTTCTCCCAAACAAGCCAATTTGTTCTGATAAGCCACATTTGAAATCCTTTTGAACTGCTTTTATATTTTGCTTATGATATTTTCTTTTCTTTTCTTTTGCAGATGTTTCTCTCTCTCTCTCTCTCTCTCTCTCTCTCTCTCTTCTCTCCTCTCTCCTCTCTCCTCTTCTCTCTCTCTCTCTCTCTCTCTCTCTCTCTCTCTCTCTTCTCTCTCCAAGGAGAGTAATAGACAAGGCACCTGTTTGGTTTCCCAGCCAAGGATTCCTCTTAAGCGGAGGACGCGGATCGCTCCACGGTCCCTCCGCGGCTCGTCTCCCTCTGCACGAAACATTGACGGGATTATTATTTTGTCGTTGCTACGGTGTTCTTTGGAAATAATCTTGATTTTTTCTTTTTTTTAGGTAGGGGAGGATAGAAAAAATAGGTGGGGTGGGATGGGGTGGGGTGGGAGGTGGTGGGGGGGGGAAACTCTGTGGGGAAGACATATCGCTGTTGTTGGTTTATTTTTAGGGCAGGTCGCTTGGGATTTTGCGTGCGTCTGTTGCTGTCATCCGACGCTGAGCGACGCGTATCGTGTTTATCGAAGTTTAAGTTTAATCCTGGCGATATATTCTATTTCCTGTTACGGCGGTTGCGGTCAGGTTGCGAAGCGTTGGTGTAAGATAAGTTTTCTCTCTCTCTCTCTCTCTCTCTCTCTCTCTCTCTCTCTCTCTCTCCTCTCTCTCTCTCTCTCTCTCTCTCTCTCTCTCTCTCTCTCTCTCTCTCTCTCTCCTTTGTGGATTTTTATCAGCTGAAGTAGTGTTTTTTTGTGGGTTAACACATTTTTGTCTGTATTTTTTCATGACATCCGTTTCCCTCTCTCTCTCTCTCTCTCTCTCTCTCTCTCTCTCTCTCTCTCTATATATATATATATATATATATATATAATATATATATATATATATATAATATATATATAACTCCTCCCACCCCATGTTCTTTTTATTTGTTGTCTTTTATGTCCAGTCATGTATCGTGTTTCGTTCGAGTCGCAGGATTGCTTTACTCGTAGAATTCCTGGCAAATTTTCTTTCCCTTTTTCATTCTCCAGATGACCCTTCAGATAGGTTCTGAGTGCGATGGAAGATCACTTTAATTATAAAGCTTTTATGTGATGCAATGTCTTTGAGAAGTTGATACTGACTGTGCTTTGTTTCCGTTGCAGAAGAGATGGTGTCCTTGACGAGCATATGGCAAGTGTGGGAGAGCCAATCGACGCATTCCCTGGAGAGAGTCCTGCAGCAGGTCACCACAGTCCAGGAGGAGGAGCAAGTGGTCATCGCCAGCGCCACCTCCACCTCCACCTCTCCGACACACTCCCCGCCTCCGCCGCCCACCCAGTCCCCCCCCCTTCCCCCCGCTCGCCAGTTCTTCCCCCCCCCATCTACGACCCTCTTCCCGTCGCCGCTCCCGCCCCTGGAAGCCCCCTCGGCCAGGACGTCGGTGGTGGAGTACGACGCGCCGGTGCTGTCGCCAGCCACCCCAGCAGCGCCGCCGACGACGGTAGGAACATGTTGATGACGCAGGCACTTGCCGGCCCGAGCGGCGGCGGCGTAGGAGGCGCTGCTGCTGCAGGGAGTGGAGGCGGACTCCCCCACGAGGACTCCACCAACTTTAACACCCTCTCCACCTCTTCCTCCTCCAACACCAACACCACGGCTTCCTCCTCCTCGGGGGCCTCCCACAGGGGCGGCGGCCTTCTCTCTCCAATTCTAGACCTGCTAGAGCTGGATTGCAATGGTGGAGGGTCCGGGGCTGACGATAACTACCAGGTAGACTATTCCTACTAACATTTCTTGCTCGGCCTCATCTCCCTGTCTCGTTGCCTGTGGGCTTCTAGCCGCTGTCCCGCCGTCCTTTGTAAACTCCGTCCTTCCTCTGTGATTGCTTTAGAAAAAAATAAATAGTATTTCATGAACGTCTGATTTTGCTAGTGTAGTTTAGATCAGTTTACTTTGGTAGGAAATTGTCTTTGATATCCAATAAGAAACTGCCATTAGAGTCTTGCATCTGGTCTGTTTCTTCTCTGTTTCCGAATGCTTCCAGTAGTGCAGACGGATTGCTTGTGAACCTTGATGTAGAGTTAATTGAAATAGAGACTTTCTCTTAATCGCCTTTATTCTGTTTGTGTATTTGTCGTTGGTTTTGTGGGACAGTAGTTATTAATGATTATTTTTTCGTATACTGTGGTTTTCTTTCTTAATTATTCTTACCCCTGTCAACACATTGCTGTTTACTTTCTGTACTTACGCATACGAAGCCAAAAACACACGATAACTAATAACACTCACACAAAACGTGTGTGTGTGTGCATCTCTCTCTCTCTCTCTCTCTCTCTCTCTCTCTCTCTCTCTCTTCTCTCTCTCTCTCTCTCTCTCTCTCTCTCTCTCTCTCTCTCTCTCTCTCTTCTCTCTCTCTCTCTCCTCTTTCTCATTTCTTTTCTCTTCTCTTCTCTTCATTTCTCTACTCTACTCTCTTTCTCTTTCGCTTTCTCTCTCAATCTCTCTCTCTCTCTCTCTCTCTCTCTCTCTCTCTCTCTCTCTCTCTCTCTCTCTCTCTCTCTCTCTCTTCTCTCTCTCTCTCTCTCTCTCTTCTCTCTCTCTCTCACACACACACACACACACAACACACACACACACACACACACACACACACACACACACACACACACACACACACACACACACACACACACACACAACACACACACACACACACACACACACACACACACACACACAACACTACATACATCACACACATACACACTCACACTCACTCACTCACTCACTCACTCACTTTGTACATAGTACGTACATTTATGTTTATTTATAAGTTTTATATGTTCCAGGTTGTATGTAGTTTATTCCTCCATTAAAACTCGGTTAATGTAAATAAAGTAAATATTGCTTCACGTTCACTGTATACGTTCCCTTCAGGTACATAGGACAGGTAAGTTATTTTTAGAATGTTGCAGCTCAGAACATCACTGTTTTAATTAACGCGGGACCTCGAATCTATTTATAGCCTGTAATGGAAGTCGACCCGAGACAGAAAACGTGGAAAGGGCAAACTAACCAATATTCATCAAGTTGCTTCTTGATTCGTGGGTTGATATATTGTTTGATTTGTAAATTGGATAAAGCCGGACGTAAAAATTGGGTCTGTTTACACACCAAATGGACGTTTGTATTGCCAGGGCGAACGGCGGCCGGGCGGGCGGGGGGAGAGGAGAGGACGGGGGAGCGGGAAATCATTTCGACCAATCACAGTCGAGATGTTTTGTCGGGTATTATCAAGCCGTTTGCTGATTGGTCGGCGCGACGTCTTGTTAAAAAGTCTTTAGTGTTAATATTATAAAAACATTCATTGACATTCTTATGGCTGTCGTAATGATCGTTGTAGTGATCGTTATTACATCGGTTAGTTCGGCTTTCCTTGAATTCCGTTGTAGCGATGTGGCTCAAGCGACCAGTGAAATGTTTTGGAATATTTGTGGTGGTCAGAGTCCTTTATCCTTCCCTCGTGTGCGGTCGTCCTTATCCGCTATCAGGAGCTCATCTGGATGCGACTGTGGAGGTACCAAGGCCAGTGCATGATAATCCCCCCATTAGTATTTCGGCGGTGCAACATGCATATAATTTCCCATTAGTATTTCAGCGGTACCCCCTCCTGCTCTGTGTATCTTTGGGCGTTTATTTTAGCGTTGTCGAGGGAGAGGGAGAGCGGTTAATCTGCTCACGGGCGGGGAAGGTTAGTCATACGACGGTTAGGTTAACGATGCCGGCGCAGAAATGGGTTTGGAAGAGAGAAATGGTTCGCGTTTATCACTGTATTTGATGCAATTGGATACAAGACTTGGATGTCGGGGTTGAGTCAGTTCGCTTTATCTAAACTGTCCTGTCATGCATTTTTTAGCCTGAATTTTGAATGCCTTATTTTTTATGAAATTTATTATCTTTTTTTTCTTGATTCTATATAAGGTAGGGAAGTAACGAAGGAAATGACGTGGATTTGATGACAGTCGAATAATTTCACCTGAGAGAGAGAGAGAGAGAGAGAGAGAGAGAGAGAGAGAGATGAGAGAGAGAGAGAGAGAGAGAGAGAGAGAGAGAGAGAGAGAGAGAGCTTACCACATCTACTCCCGTAAGACGACCCCCCCCCCCCCACACGACCTCCATGACCCCGTCGCAGTGGACACGCCTTATGAGGCCTCTGCTTTCATATCCGCCTTTGCTTGACCTAGGCGTTTCTGCTTTCGTAAGAACACACAACGTTTTCTTTCTCTTTCTTTGGGAGACTTAGAGAGCTAAGTTTTCGGGTGGGTAAGCCTCGCATGGTTTCACTGGATTGTGCGATAACTGTGGCAGCGTTGGTGTTCGAAGCCTGTGTTGTGTCTGGCGGTGAAGCGCTGCCGTGTGGTGAGTGATGAGCCCGCCAGTCTGTGATGGAAATGCCTTATGCACATACACGGCGCAGACACACACGCACGCGCAGTTGGTATGAGAGAGACTTCAATCAAACGAAAATAGAAGTAAATCCGCAGTGTAGACCTAATTAACCTGTTCGGCCGTCGCATCCCAAAGCTAATCGCCCCCCCCCCCCCCCGCTTCCTAGTTTACATGTGCGATGATGCCGCAGTTGAGCCGGAAATGCGGTCCGCTGCATATCACGGCTTAGGACACTCGCGCCGGGGTCAACACGGTGCTATCCCCATGCCAACCAGAGGGGAGAATCGACAAGCAAACCTCACGAGAATGTAGACCTTATCAGCTAGGTGCGTGAAGCCGGGTTTGTGAAGGAACTGCCTTACGTGTGAAGGTGAGCGAGTTTACGGATAGTTTTCACCTGGACTGGGATCCTTTGGGGGAGGGGGGGGTTCAGGGGGACCGGGACCCGTTTGTTATGTTACACCTCGCTGGCTCAGAGGGAAAACGAACCCTGTTTCGGAGGAAAGCAAGTTTGAAAGAGTTGAAAGTATCGTGCGGCGAAGGGGTGGGGAGGTGCAGAGGCGCGCGTGCGTGTGCATGTGTATTTTATTTATATATGTATATATATATTTTTTAATCAGAAGTGAAGATATTCACCTGAAACTGTTTACATGCGGAAATTTCCACCGTTTTTTTATGTTTTATTACTGTATGATCATTATAATTCACTTGATTTGTTTTGCGGAGCCCTTCGCTGATTACTTCTGCAATGTGCAATATAAGAGCATTCGTAGCAACATAATAAGCAGCAATCAGATTCCGATTTGGGTCTTAGAGAAGGAAGTGAGATAAGAAAATGTTTTGGTACAAAAAATAGATATGTAGGAAAATTTTCTGGGTTTCCCTGATTCGTAGATTCGTGTTTTTTGTTTTTGTTTTTTTCCTCGTTCTTTGTTATTTGTTTTTGTTGTCATTTATACGGTGTGGCATCTCTGGCCGAGGGATGTAATCGATCAAAGTTTCTAACTTATTTTGGCAGTTGCTTTTTCCGTCTGCCGGCTTTTCCCTTTTTATCTTTCCCTCGGTTATTTTTCCACTAGTTTCATAATTCACGTTTTTTCTTTTTTGCTTTCTGATGTTATTCCTTAGTCCAGATGATGCTGTTTTAACGCTTCCGAGAGAGAGAGAGAGAGAGAGAGAGAGAGAGAGAGAGAGAGAGAGAGAGAGAGAGAGAGAGAGAGAGAGAGAGAGAGAGAACGAACGAAATCAACAGGACAGAGAAAGAGAGAGAGAGAAAACGAAATCAAGAACAAGAGAGAGACAGAGATAGAGAGAGATTTATCCATAAAAGAATAAAGAAAAAAAAACAAGAAAAGAGAAGCGAGCTGGCAGTGGAATCAAGCGACAGTTATCGGCCGGTCCCTCCGCCCAGTCACTCGCACGCACGCCCGTCCCGCCGACACACAACCCTTGTTTACACTCACCTCCTGATCCACGGTTCGACAGCGGCTATCTTCTCTCTGCGCCGGTACACCTGCCGTTCTTCGTGTGACGTTCTCTCTGGGTATTTTTGTGTGTGTTGTGCGTGTTGTGGGGAGTGACGAGGGAGGGAACGGCGCGGAGGAGTGTAATAAGCCTGCTGGGTGTGTGTGTGGGTGTGTTTTTTTGTTGTTGTTTTGGTGAAGGGAGGAAAAGTTGGGGTCTGTGTTTGTGCGTGAGCGTGGGCGGGTTCGGTGTGGGTGTTGGTGAGTGGTATTAGTACCGAAGAAGCGGGATTTGAATATTTTATGGCGCCTCTGTGGAAGTCTCGGGTGGGGGGGGGGGGGGGGTTGTGCGAGAGCGTGTAAGGTCTGGTGCGGGAGAACTGTTTATATTTTTGCACGTATCGGACCGCCATAGGTTAGCTATTTGGCATTTCCTGTTTTTTTCTCTCATTTATTTATTGGTTTATTTTTTTCTCTCTCTGGTGGACGTTGAGTGTCCGCCGCTTTCTGGTGGTGAAGTTGATTTGATGCTTTTGTGTCACTTCAAGGCTATTATCCAGTTGCGCTCTCTCTTCTCTCTCTCTCTCTCTCTCTTCCTCTCTTCTCTCATCTCTCTCTCTCTCTCCTCTCTCTCTCTCTCCCCCCTCTTCCCCCTCCCTCCTCTCCCTCTCTTACTCTCCCTCCCTTCTATCTATCTTCTCTTTGTCTTCTCGCTTCACCCATCTTTTACACATCACTCCCCCCCCTTCCATCATCACATCTCTTCTATCTTTTTTTTTATTCATCTCGCTTCTCTCTCCTACTTCAATATCCTCTCTCTCCCTCACTACCTTTACTTCTCCTTTCTTTCCCATCCTT